CAGCAGTGCGTAAGAGTTCCGATCTCCCCGCAGCCCCTCCAACATTTGTTATTTCCAGTGTTTTTGATTCGTGCCAGTAATGCCGGGGTGAGATGTAATACTGCCTAATTTTTAAGAATTATTATAAGGCCATAATAATCAAGGCAGTGTGGTATTGGCATCGAATATAGACAAATATATTAATGGAATAGAGTCCAGAAATAGGACTTTGTTTTCAACAAAGCTGTAAAGACAATTCAGTGGAGAAAGAATAGTCTTTTCAACAAATGGTGCTGGAACAAATGGATATCTATACGCAAAAAAAAAAAGAACTTGGATCCATACCTTGCACCATATATAAAACTTGGCTCCATACCTTGCACCATATATAAAACTTGGCTCAAAATGAATCATAGACCTAAATGTAAAACATAAAACCATAAAAGTTCTAGAAGAAAACACAGGATAAAATCTTTGTGACCCTGGGTTAGATGTGATTCAAAAGAAAAAATTGATAAATTGTACTTTATCAAAATTAAAAAATGTCTGCTCTTCAAAAGACGCTGTTAAGAAAAAAGCCACAGACTGGGAGAAAATATTTGCATATTGTGTATGTGATAAACGACTTGTATCTAGAATAAATAAAGAATACTCAAAACTTATAATAAAAACACACACAATCCAGTTTAAAAATGGGCAAAACATTTGAACAGACACGGATGGCAAATAAATACACGAAAGGATGCTCAACATCATTAGTCATCATGTAAATGCAAATTAAAACCAAAGTGAGATACCATTATCCAACTATTAGAATGGCTAAAATTAGAAAGACTAACCAGTGTTGCAGAGGATGTGGAGGAACTGGAATTCTCATACACTGCTGGTCGGAATGTAAAATGGTACAATTACTTTGGAAAACTGGCAGTTTTCTAAAAAGTTAAATATAGACATGCCATAAGCTGTAGTCATTCTGCTTCTAGGTATTTACCCAAGAGAGATGAAAACATATGTCCATACAAAGACTTATACATGTTCATAGTAGCATTATTTGTAATAGCCAAAATTTGGAAACAACCCAAATGCCCACAAACAGGTGAATGGATAAACCTGTTGTGATACGAACATACAATGGATAGTCAATAGTAAAAAGGAGTGAATTATTGATACATGCAAAAACGTGAATGAATCTCAAAATAATTATGCTAAGTCAGAGAAAATACAATAATACTGTATAATTCCATTTATATGAAATTCTACAAAATGCAAACTAATCTGGAATGATAGAAAGCAGATCAGTGGTTGCCCAGGGAAAGGGGGGCAGTAGGAAGGAGGGATTACAAAGAGGTACCAGGCAACTTTTCTGGGTGATGGATATGTTCATTATCTTTATTGATGATTTCATGGGTGTACACATGTCAAATCTCATCAAACTGCACTTTATATATCTGCAGGTTATTGCCATGTCAAATATACTTCCATAAAACTGTTTAAAAATATAACACATCAGAGTATCATGATTCATGTTACAATCTCAATCCTTCAGAATCAGTCTCGCATCAACTTTTTTTAAAATAAAAATCAATTCAGTCAAAGCAAATTTTTAAAATGGATGAATAACTTTCTGGAAAAGGCAAAACTCTAGAGACATTGGAAAGATAGGTGATTGCCAGGTGTTGTCTGGGGGGTGAGGGGTAAATAGGTGGAGCATAGGGCAGTTTCAGGGCAATGAAACTATTCTGTATGATACTGTGATGCATTTGTCAAAACTCATAGGACTGTACAACGCAAACTGTGAACCCTAATGTAAACTATAGACTTTATAGTAACAACGTATCAATATTAGCTCATCACTTGTAGCTAACATACCACAGGAATGCAAGATTTAGTAATAGCAAAAACAGTGTGGAGATGGGAAGGAGGTATAAGAAAACTCTACTTTCTGCAAACCTAAAACTGCTCTAGAAAATATTAATTTTAAAAATGCACAGATTAAAAACCTCTATTTCTGGTTTCCTCTTTTTTTGAAGCACCACAGCACAAGGGTAGCTGCCTGGGTTGTAGCTCTACTTCAGGTATCAAAGGACGCCGCTCTCAAGAACAGTGTTTTTTAACCTGGCACACTCCAGTGTGACCTCACTTTATATGCTCTGCTGAGTGTGCAAGTCACTACCCACCCCGAGAAAGTAAACATGTGCAATTTTCTTTGCGTGTGAACGGCAAATGATGCAATAAGCCAGTCGAGCCTGAGACTCGGTGTCTCCCAGGGTAATCCAACTATAGGGACCGTAGTGAAAACAGCCGGCTGCTACTGGCAAAGGTTTTGGAATTCCAAAAAAAGGGTAGACACTGGCCGCAACCCAGTACCCTACTTCCGCCCGGGTCACACGCTCACGCCGGCAGCATTAGTGCCCCCGCTTTCCTGTCCGGCGCGGCCCCTAGCCGATGGTCTATTAGTCCGACTCCGCGCGGTGCTCTCGCGCGTCGCAGCACACCTCCTTCCGCCTGCCTGCCGAACAGCTGTCTAGCAAGAGTGCACTAAGCCATACAGCTTCTCACGGGCGCGCCTGCGCAAGTCCGGGGGAAAGCGGCCTCAGTCCCTCTCGTACAAGATAAAGGAGTGCGGGGAAACTGCCTGGTGTCGGTCTTCCGCTTGCTGACCAAGACCTGCCTTTAAGTTCTAAAGGGCCAGCCCCCACACTAATAAACGATTGAAAGCTGGTCTTAGGCCTGGAAAAGGTGTTCGTCACGTCCGCGCCCTTGTTCCGTAAGTGAGGCAGCCGAGGCGCGGGGACTGGAGAGAGCCCTGGCGTTTGGCCCTGCACTTCCCACAACGTTGCTGTTGGGGTAGTTTCCAGCGCTACCAAGCGCCCCAGCCCCGGCGCCGTTCAGTGCTAGGCTGTGAACCTGTGGCCGAACTCCCCGTCCAGCCTGCCGACCATGCCCGCCGGTGTGCCCTGGCCCACCTACCTGAAAATGTTCGCGGCCAGCCTCCTGGCCATGTGCGCCGGGGCCGAAGCGGTGCACAGGTACTACCGGCCCGACCTGGTGAGTGCCGGAGGGTCCCTAGAGCACTCTATTCTCCTCACAGCAGCAAAAGTGGTCTTGAAATTAGGGTAACATCTGCCCAGGGCTTAAAATCTTGTGATGGCACCCGACTGCATTTAGAGCGGTGCGTGGTTTGTGGTCTTCCACAGTCTGGCCCCTGCCTGCTGTTGGCCCTACCATCTACCTCTTTGTTTCCTCTGTTTCAGCCTCAGCGGCCTCTATGCTGTTTCTCAAATTCATCAAGTTTCTCTCTCGGGGATTTTGCTTTTCTCTCTCCGTAGAATACTTTTCTTACGCATCTTGGGTTTGGTTTCCTTCTAAACTTAAGTCTCTACTGAAATGTCCCCTCCAGCAAGGCTTTCCGGGACAGTTCCCGAAGGATACCTCCAATGCTATGCCCTGTCTCAGCCCCTTGCCTCCATAGAGCACTTGTCACCACTTGCAATTATAGTGAAACCTACGAAAGCCAGAACTCGTTTAAGGCGGTAACCTGTCAGCGAAGGAAAATGCAAATATTTTCCACTAACGGCGATAGAAAAGTGGTGAGGCTGCATGCACCCTGTCAAAGGTGGAAAACTTGGGGAAAAACAAGACAGCCCTATCGAGTTCCCGCTCTCACAGGTTTCACTGAATTTTATTCGTTAGTTTACTTGGTCTTTCTCTGTCTCCTCCACTGGAATATAAACTCATGGAATGGACTGTGGCTGTCTGGTTCACCTTTGTGTCTCAATCACCTAGAAGAGAGCTTGGAATGTAGTAAATGGTCAGTAAATATTTGTTGAATGAAAAATGGCTGAATATAGGCATTCAAAGGCAGGAGAAATTTAATTTTAATAAGTATTCATTGAATTAAGTACTGGGAATTAAAGGTGCCTTATTGGAGTTCTGGTGGCACAGTGGTTAAGAGCATGGCTGCTAACCAAAAGGTCAGTAGTTCAAATCCACTGGCTGCTCCTTAGAAACCCTATGGGGCAGATCTGCTCTGTCCTGTAGGAGAGCAAGGGGTTTATAGGAGGTAGGAGGTACTTACAAGCCTTCACAGGAGTGTGCTTTTATACTATAAGTGTGGATAGAGTGGTTTGAGAGCACAGTGTAGAAAAGAGTCTTAACCTGCTTGCACAGGTAACGTTTACTGAGAACCAACCGCTTGTGTTTCTAATTTCAGTTGTCATTACAATTTTGGAGGTATTTCTCCCTGTTTTCAGATGAGGGAACTGAGGTTCAGAAGAGTCAAGGTGATTTCCCAAGGTCACATAACTTTTGAGTCACTGAGTTGAGGAAGCCCATGCTTTTTGTTTGGTGTTCGTCTTTTTGGTTCCTTTTAATAAAATCAGTGCCTTTGCAAAAAGTTCACGTTGATTGAATTGAAGTATGTAGAATAAAAAGTGAAAATTCCCCCATTTGCAACCCCCTCCTTTAATCTGTTTCCCACAGGAGAGTCTTGTTTATTGGTTGGTGTATATTTTTCCACACACATGTACATAGTTTCTGAGGTTTTTTAATTTTAATTTATACTTTATTAATTTTAAAATAGTTCATATACACATTCCTCTGCAAATTGCTTATTTCATTAATGTCTAAATGTATGAGCATTTGCCTATATCAAATCTTTTTAACCATTGTGTAGTATTTCATAAAATGAATATTCCATAAATTATTTAATCAATCCCTTATTGACAGGTGGTATTTAGTTTGTACAGACAGTGCTGCAGTAGCCCTTTCTTCCTGCTTCAGACTGCTTCTCTTCTAGGAGTTCTAGGGAAGCATCAAGGATACCTAGTGGAGACAGAAGAGGGTAAGAAGCTTCTACAAAAGCTTAGAATAGCCCTTAGCTTGTGCAGGAATAGGCATCAGGGAGACCTTATAAAGAAAGGAATGCCTGGGATTTGACCCTGGAAGATTGACCTTTGATTCACCCATGTCATTATAAGCACATGAGAATGTGTTAGGATTGTTGCCAGTAGCTACTTGTACCTTTGGAGGAGGCAGCACGAAGCCAGTATCTCTAGAAGGGGCATAGTGAAGGGCCTGAGACCACATCACTCTGACTGGGCAGTCACACTGGCAGGGGGGCAGGTTTGTAGTGACTTGAAGGCCAGGGATGTCTGGCTATGTGTAGGAAGTTGTAGGCTCTACTAGAGTTTGAGGAACTTAGATTCTTTACCTATGTCTGTTGGTGTTGTTCCACTAATCACTGTCACTCTTGTAACAACTACCAGCCTTGCCAGGAGTCCTTCAGTCTGGACAGCTAGAAGGTCTGCGTGCAGTTTGGAGCAGAGGAGAGAATGGTGGCTGTCTAGGGCATTCACTCAGTGCAGACTCAAGGGAGAAGTATCAGGGGTGCATTTTTTTCTAGTTGTCCAGCTTAGCTCATCTGAATAGGATAGGAGGCAAGGCCTTGAGGCAGATGTTCTGTCCTGGATAAAGAGTGTGCCTTTTGCTTGAGCTTTCCTTTTGCGTTTTCTCCAGGAGGTGAAAAATCCTGTCACTGGGGCTTGTGACAGGAAGTGACTAAGGTCTTCATTTTATTGGCCAATCAATATCTGTACAGTTTACTTTGGGTTTTACTTTTCCTTGTTCTCTTTTTCTTAATTTGTAATCTTATCGTGTATCATTATTACCGAAGGCACAGTAGGTCAAAAGACATAGTCTCAGGACTCATTTTAAAGCATTTCATTTTTGATGGTTCCCAAACACACTCACACACACAAACATTTATTTAGAACTTCTGCCTTAATTGGTATGGAGCCCTGGTGAGGCAGTGGTTAACAGTTCAGGCTGCTAACCAAAAGGTTGGCAGTTTGAATCTACCAGCCACTCCTTGAAAACCCTATTGGGCAGTTCTGCTGTGCCCTATAGGATCACTATGAGATGGAATCGACTTGGTAGCATGGGTTTATGCCATAATTGGTAAACTTTTAATACCAATAAACTTGCTAGTCATTTAAAAAAAATTGATTATATTTAGTATATTAGAGTTTCTGGATGATGCAAATGGTAAGCATCCACTAACCAAAAGGTTGATGGTTTGAACCTACCCAAAGGCACCTCAGGAGAAAGGCCTGGTGATCTGCTTCTGAAAGATCACAGCCGTTGAAAACCCTATGTGAAGACGGTTCTACTCAGCAACACATAGGGTCACCATGAGTTGGAGCTCGACAGGAAACTGGTTTGGTTTTTGTGGTTTTTATATTTAGTATGTAAATAAAAGTGCTATTTTTTTTCAGTAAAAATCTGTCATTTTTGTTTTACATTGTACTGGAAATTCTAGTCACACCAAATGTGGGCCTGTGTATGTAGATATATATATATAAGAGGGTGGTTTTGAATACTTTGTAGAAAATTGAAACATGCTATTAGTGTATTTGTATAGGACTTGTGATTTCACAGTTTCTTTTTGTTCTTTCTTGATTGGAAAATGAATAGCCCTTTTAAATTGTGTACAGTTTAACAAACATGAAACACACATACTGTGCTTGTAGTAAAGGGGTTGCAATTTCAAAATCTTAGGGCTGGTTTTAAGAGAGGAGATTGTTCAAACAAGTTATTCTGGCTTTTATTCCAATCCTCATCAGTGATTTTTTAGAAAGTCATTTTCATTTCAAAATGAGAATGCTGTTAAACAGTACATCTCTGACCTCCCTGCCTCTACTTTTACCCTACCTAAAAAACCCACACTTTTTCTAAACTAGTTTATTTCTTTAGGATCAATTAATCGTTAGGAGATAAAAGGATAAAATGAGACAGGTCAAGGTATTTGAACTTTAGGCATTGGGAAGCTATTGAATTTTTCTGATATGATTGGAGTTACATCAGAGTCATCTTGCAGTTTTGTGTAAAATAGTTTGACAAAAGACTTATTTTAAAAGTCCTGAGTAAAGTCTGTTGATTTATTCATTCAGCACATTTTTTGACTGGCTCTGAATGTGGGGCATTTTCATAGAGTTCTACTCTGTCCTATAAAGTTGCTATGAGTTAGAGTTGACCTGACACCAGTGGGTAGGGCTGGTGGAGTTGGGTAGAGATGGTGAATCACTGTTAATGGGTAACGGATTTCTTGTGATGAAAATGTTCTAAAGTTGTAGTGATGAATGTACAACTCTGAATATATTAAAGCTGTTGAATTGTACATTTTAAGTGGGTGAGTTGTATGGTTTGTCCATTATATCTTAATAAAGCTATTAGAAAAAAAATAAAGTCACCTTTTCAGGAGTCCTTCTCAGGCTCCTTCTTTGAAGGCAGGGATTTTGCCTTTTGTTTGCACATAATAGGTACTTCATATTTTTGAATGAATGAATTCCTCATACCTGTCTCTTGTGCTGGAAGGAGCCCTGGTAGCACAGTGGTTAAAGCACTCAGCTGCTCATCTAAAAGTTGACTGTTCGAACCCACCAGCTACTCTGTGGGAGAAAGATGTGACAATCTGCTTCTGCAAAGATTTACAGCCTTGAAAACCCTGTAGGGTCACTGTGAGTGAGAATCGACTCGATGGCAATAGGTTGTTTTTTTCCTTCATCTCTTGTGCTAGGCACATGGTGGGCAGTCAGTATATAGTGCATGAATGAATTTCCAAATGTGAAAAAAATTGTGAATCTGCAAATCGATATTGATACAAACTATCCCTCTGTGAGTCTTGTAGTACTTAAGACATTGCCAGGATGGTAAAGTCATATAAATATATACAGCTGGAAAGGCACTTAGATCAACCATGGGTTCTCATAATAAAGATTTATGATGGAGTAGCAGGGGACTTTTTGTTCTTTTTTTACACTCTACTTTCTTTGAAGTCTTTCATGTCATATTTAATTAAGGTCTAAGAAAGCACTCACATCTAAGCTTTCTGTTTTGTTTTTTTGTAGGCAATACCTGAAATTCCACCAAAGCCTGGAGAACTCCAAACGGAGCTTTTGGGACTGAAAGAGAAACAACACGAACCTCAAATTTCTGAGTAGTAGAAGCCTAAAATACAACTATACCAAGGATTCTGTGAATAATATTGTAAATCTCAAACATACATTTTTTAATTTATTGAAAGTCAGACTACTTGCCTTATGAACCTAATACAATGTTAACTGCAAGAGGAGGTGCTCAGTAGATAAGAACTTATCCATTGAGAATTAACTGTGGCTTGGCCAGTATATCTTGAAAACTGCCAAAGCTTGTATCATCAGCTTCTTGAATGTGGTGTGGGAGATATATAGTTTTCAGTATTATGTGAGATATAGTATTTGCAATGTCTTCTGCGTTATCATTCTGGTTTATTTTTCTGAATAAGCTTTGATTATAATGGTGAATGGGAATCATAAATGAACTATAATAAAAGTGACATTGATAATGAATGTTTATGGTGTGAAATTAGTATCTCTCTAAATAGTAGAAAGTACTGTATCTACTAAACTGTAGTAAGTTGAAACAGTCGAAGTTTGAAGTTTCTTGGACTATCAGGGAGCCCTGGTGGCACAGTGGTTAAGAGATATATGGTTGTTAACCAAAGGGTCAGCAGTTTGAATCCATCAGCCACTTCCTGGAAACCGTATGGGGCAGTTCTGCTCTGTCTTGCAGGGTTGCTGTGAGTTGGAATCGACTCAATGGACACAGGTTTGGTTTGGTTTGGACTATCACAGGTTCTGTATTCCTTAATTTGAGAAACCACCTTGGCATTTAATTTTTCTGATAAAATATATTTTAAAATAGCCAAAAAATGTAAGTGAGCATTTTAGCCTTTTACTGAGTCTATAAATATGGAAAAAAAAAATATAGAATAGTTGGCTTTCTGATCAGGGCTATTTTTCCAAAAGACATTTTTTAGAATTCTGCATAAAGATGATGGTTAGGCTTACTTCTTAGCCAGTTAATAAATTGTTACATGGTATGGATCTTTGGGGTCAGAGTTGAAACCTTAAATGTTAAAACCCCTAAATGCCAACAAAACCCTTTGTTTCACTCTCCGGAGTCAGTGCCCTTTTCAGTTTAACAATATAAACGAAGCAGTTTATTTCCAGCCTCGTATGCAAAGTCTTCTCATTTGTTCTCTGCTGCCATGCCATTTGGTGCGTTATCAGATGCTTCCATCACAACGAGGCTCTCTCCAGTGAAAGGGCCCAGCGTTCTGAAGATGGAGTTTTGAGTTGAGACAGCTTGCCATTTGCATGCTATTTATTTCCTGTGACCTTCATTTTACCTCCTATGGCTCAAAGTTCATAGCTTCCATGTACTGAATACTTTTTTCTTGGGAAAAAAAAAAAAAACCCAAGAGACAAAACGGCCACATAAACAAGAGACTCCATCAGCCTGAGACCAGAAGAACTAGATGGTGCGTGGCTATCACCAAGGGCTGCCCTGACAGGGAACAGAACAGAGAGTCCCTGATGGAATAGGAGAAAAGCGTGGAGCAGAACTCAAATTCACATAAAAAGACCAGACTTAATGGTCTGACTGAGACTGCAGGAACGCTCAAAGCCATGGCCCCTGGATTCTCTGTTCACCCAGAACTAAAACTACTCCTGAAGCCCACTCTTCAAAGAAAGATTAGACTGGACTATAAAACATAAAATAGTACTCGTGAAGAGCGTGCTTCTTAGTTCAAGCAGATATATGAGACCAAAAGGGCAGCTCCTGTCTGTGGGCAAGATGAGAAGGCAGGAAGGGACAGGAGCTTGTTGAATAAACATGGGAAACTTGGGGTGGAAAGGGGAGTGTGCTGTCATAGGGACTGCAACTAATGTCACAAAACAATATGTGTATAAATTTTTGTATGAGAAATTAGCTTGCGCTGTAAACTTTAAAGCACAGTTAAAAAAAAAAAAAAATTGTATACAAATGGTGAAGCTTGCCATAGCTGCCAGTTGCAAGGATTTTATGTAGGACTGGAAGAAGTTTGACAACCTTTTTTTTTTTAAATAATATTTTATTGTGTTTTTGGTGAAGGTTTACACAGCAGTTTAGGTTCTCATTCAACAACTTCTACACAGATGGTTACAGTGACAATGGGTACATTCTTTGAAGTGCATGAACATTCTCATTTTTTCGTTCTGGTTGTTTCATTTTCATTGATCTAGTTTCCCTGCCCTGCTACATTCTCACCTTTGTTTTTTAATTTTATTTTATTGTTGAGAATATACACAGCAAAACATACACCAATTCAACAGTTTCTACCATCAGTGACATTGATCACATTCTTTGAGTTGTGTAACCATTCTCACCCTCCTTTTCTGAGTTGTTTCTCCCCCATTAACCTAAACTCCCTGTTGCCTAAGTTCCTATCTAATCTTCCTAGTTGCTGTTGTCACTTTGATCCCATATAGATAGATCTTAAAAGAGCATAATGCTCAATGTAGACATTTTTTACTAGTTAAGCTAAACTATTGTTTGGTTTTGAGAAGAAGTTTGACAATTTTGTGTGTGTGTGTGCTTTAGGTGAAATTTTACAGCTCAAGTTAGTTTCTCATTCAGAAATTCATACACGTTGTTTTGTGACATTGGTTGCAATCCCCACAATGTGACAGCACTCTCCCATTTTCTAGTCCAGGTTCCCTGTGTCCGTTCACCCAGGTCCTGTCCCTTCCTGCCTTCCTGTCTTGCTTTTGGGCAGGGATTGCCCATTTGGTCTCGTGTAGAAGCACGTTCTTCATGTGTTACTGTTTGTTTTTTAGGCCTGTCTAATCTTTGAAAAGTGGGCTTCGGGAGTGGCTTCAGTTCTAAATTAGAAAAGTGTCTGGAGGTCATAGTCTCGGGGCTTCCTCCAGTGTCTGTCAGACCAGTAAATTTGGTCTTTTCTTGTCAATTTGAATTTTTGAAATTTTTTTTTCTCCCATTTTCCAGGACTCAGAAGTTTGAGAACTTTTTAATTTTTCTTGTTTTTAAATTAAAGGAATTATAAATGGTTTCCTAGACTAATTTAGTACTGCAAATCTAGGTCCTAACTTCTCATTTTAGTTTTGAATATCGTGTGAGATAGAGTTGGAGTTCCCAAAGATTTCAGGAAGGATACTTTATGGGTTGTCTTGATCTAGTTTAAATCAAGAATAAAATTCTTGTTTTTAAATTATGAACTAATTTAATTAATTGAACTTGGTAGATGGACATTTTCTTTCTCATTGCTAAATTGACATTGCCAAATTCTAGTTCTCTACTAACTTTAATATATGCGCACCAAATTTTTGAGCTTTGATAATGCACTCACTGAGTAGATATCACTGAGGAGCCCCCACATCAGTTTCCAGAATGAAGGGCTGGGGCATCGCTCACTCTTTGCATGAAGAAAGATCTGCCCATGGATCCAATTTGTGCACATGGGGAGGACCCTCACTGTGGATGAATGCAGTGGGCCATACTTTAAACCCCCCCATAATTACAGGTACAAAGAGTGATTGGTCTGGCTACTGAGTAAAAGAGTTATGATTTGCACTCAAGTCTCCCACAAGACAATGACTTAATAAAGATGAAAAACTTTTTTATAGCTATTAAAATTTTATACCTAAAGTAAAAATGCCATCTTTATTGCATTAAGTGTTGATTCTAAGTGACTTTCACCAAAATATCTTTTTCTCCTTTTTTTGAGGTTGACCTATTGTGAAAAATATACATTGTAGTGGGCATGGAAGTGTACCACCCAGATTCCTCCTCAAGGAAAGGCTTGTCACCCCAGCACTAGGCAGGTTGTCAGTGGACAGCCTTCAGGTGTCATCCCTGCGGGGACTGTCTCAGCTGCAGAGCAGCCTCACTCAAAGTCACATCCTTCCTGCGTCCTTCCACATCCAGTGACTGATCGAGGTGAAAAGTAGAAAGGCCTTGCCATGTCAGCACAACATGGGCAGGGGCAGCTCTTATGAGCCCTGTTTGAGCTCCAGAACTTCACATGGGGTTGGCTGAGGCTGCCTTTGGACCTGCACTATAGCTCATCTTCTCCCTCTGCCCAATCCCATTTCCCTTCCTTTCACAGGCATCAATCCCAAGGGCATTCCTTATATAACATCCTGTACACTAAACTCCATCTGAGAGTGCTTCCTGGAGAACCAAATCTGTGACATACATAAACCAAAAATTAAAAGTAGTACAAGATTACAGCTCAATAAAGCTGTTTAAAAAAGTAGTCTAAGACTCATTGCAACTTGTTTGATAACTAAATTAGGTCAAACAGCTTTTGTGCAAGGTGTATATGACATAGATGCTTGTTTTGTTAAAAAATGAGGGAGTACAATGCCTTTTGCTTCCTGCTGGAAGCAATGGAAATGTAGAATTTTTAAATTTTTTTTTTATTGTACTTTAAATGAAGGTTTACGAACAAATAGTTTCTCATTAAACAGTCAGTACACATATCATTTTATGACATTGGTTAACAACCCCATGACATGTCAACACTCCCCTTCTCGACCTTGGAGGACCTTTTTTTGGTGAAAATATACATAGCCAAAGTTAACACCATTTCAAAAGTTTCTACATGTACAATTCAGTGACATTGATTACATTCTTCCAGTTGTGCTGCTATTCTCACTATCCTTTTCCAAATTATTCCATCACCATTATCTTCAACTCACTGCCCCCTAGGCTTCTCAT